GGTCAACACCCAACCCACCTGAACACTGCTGAGCAGTACCTGCAGCAGCACAGCTGCAAAGAGATGGTTTGCCTCAACAGGGTCCCAACACTGGGAAAAGACAGTGCTGGCACATGGAGCTTTCACACGGCCCTGAAGGACAGAGTGACAGTGACAGTAGTAGCAGCCCAAGCACGCTGGCTTGGCTCTGGGAAAAGGGGGCACAGGGAGAGATTTGCCCCTGGCCTCCTGAAGTACCTTGGTTCACCTCCAAGGAAAAGTCTGTACAGTTGGCAAAGCAACCCAAGGAGTGGGTCGTGCAAGGGGTTGGATCCCACCAAGTCCTCGCTTGCGAGAAACGTGAAAATCTCCATGAGGCACTTCTAGAACTTCCCCTGACTCTCAGTCCAAATGGAAAGCCCACATCTACCTTCTGGCTGGGAAACCTGCCCAAGGCTCCTGCTAACAAGTGTTTCTCGAGCGTGACTTGTTTGCTGTTGGCAGCAGAGCCCCTGGGAGTGTTCACTCATGAGCAACTTCTATTAACCAGCTTTTTACACTTTGACAACAGAGCTGGGTCCACCCAGCTGGATTTTTTTCCACACTGCTTGCACGTTTCCACCTGCTACACTATGAAAACTATGAGAAAAATGTCATGTGTTTTCTTATGAGATTTTTCCTTCTGAGAAAACGTGGGAACCAGTCCCATGCTGCCTCAGCCAAGAGGGGAGTGTACGGAGGGTGAGCACGGAGGAGGACACGAGTGGAGGATGGAACAGCGAGCCCTGGGAACCGACCAGAACAGAGAACCGAGGGAAAAGCATCCCAGAGAGGCAGGGTTGCCAATTCCCTTGGGACTAATTTTTCTCTTTATGCTCAATCTAAGCTGATTTCAACAAAAACCAACTCTGAGGATAAAATATCATGAGCCGTTATTGAATAATTCACACGAATTATTTCTCTGTGAAGTATGTAACGGCTGTGTACCAGCACAACAAGTAATGACAATAAAATTCCCCGTAAGCACGTTATGGAACAGCACCCGACTTGTTCTGCAGAGCCCCCGAGGCTGTCACAGCACACACTCAGCAATGCCATCCAGCTGAGGTACAACACATTTGTGGGTTTTGCTCACCTACCTCTCCAGTTACACCTCTGCTGACATCTCCCTCACCTCCTGCAGGTGCAGAGCAGACCACAGCAAAAATCTTCCTTTATTTTCTAAGATCAACCATGGCTGCCAGCCTGACAAGGCACCCCACGGGCAAGGGAAGCAGAAAGCTGAGGCTGGGCTAAAATTGCTTAATAAGCCTGATGGTTCTCACCTGTGCTCAGAGGATATTTTAATGGAAATCAGGTGGGCTGAGTCTGGGCATAGGAGATCAGCTCAGAGAAGGGTTTCTTCCCCCCCCCCCCCAAGGCTGGCAACAGTTTGAGACCTCAAAAGATCTTTATTACTATTGTACTCTTCATACTGCAGCCCTGCTCATGCACACAGAAAGACATGTTTCCTGAGAGCTCACATATAGGAAATGCTTTGATGGATCAAAATTTATATGAAAATAGCATAAAAAAAGGTCCTGGGATAGTTTATCCCTCATTAAGTTGGATGCACTAAAGGAGGGACCACTTGGTCAGACCCATGGCCAGCAGTGAATGGGACAGGGGAAGGAGTTCCAACACTAAGGAGCATCTTTTTCATACAAGTAGAAGGAGGATCAGCTGCCTGGCAAAAGCCAAATAACATCCTGGGAGGATGTTTCCCACCCCGGAGCACACAGAGCTCTGGGGTTATGCTGAAAGGTCAATGAAGAGATTGAGGTTTTCAAAATGATGCATGATTTTCATGGCATTCATCTGCTTTTTGAAGGTCAGCATTCCCAGGTTCTGTTCAGCACAGCACCTGGAGGGTCTGTGTAAAGGTTAACAGGTTATCACAGGGCTCCAGGTAAATCCATGAGGATCAGCAATAGCATGGATGATCCAAGGAACTCAGGCACTGCTAAATCCCTCTCTCACAGGGAAAGGCTACAGATCAGAACATGGAATATCAGCTGACTTAAAATGGATTTATATTTATATATACATATGTCTGAAAGATAAATATATACTTACATACATATATATATATATACTCATGGACCCGTGGAACCCATTGCCACAATATCACTGATTTTAAAATATTATCCATATCCAAGGAATCATAGAATATCCTAAGCTGGAAGGGACCCAGAAGGATGATGGAGTCCAGAAGGGAAAGAAAGGATGGATACTTATGGTAGGTGCTTAGTCATCCCACCTAGGGTTTTCTCCACACTTCAAGGAGCACATCAAGCTCTGTCCATCCAAAGGCAGAAAGAATTGGGGGATGTCTGGGGATTATCCATGGGGACTGTTTCCACTTTTTCCCTGAGGTTGTCAACTGGAGGCTGTGAGAAGCCAGGTGAGGTGAACCACGACCACTTGATGGCCCCAACCAGATGCCTTTATTGGATGCTCTTGGGCCCAAGCCCATCCTTGGCTCTGACTGCCCATATTTTCCAGCCCCAGAGCCCACCAGATGGTGCTCTCGGTATTAGTTAATGCCGAGTTAATTTGTGCCTTGTCATTCCACTGAGACACTCCAGCACAGGTGGGGTGTGGAGAAACACCACCAAGAGCAACAGATTTCTGTGCCTTCCTAGAGTTCCACGTGGGTGGTGCGGCCTCACCCCAGGTGTGACATGGCCCAAGAACCAGAAAGGGGTTTTTGAAGCATCTGGAGGCGATGGTGGGTTACGGGCTCTGCCACACACCTTCCAGCCCTAATATAGTCCTGATTGTTGTGCCTGGGTGTGGAGCTCACTGGAAACCCCCTGATGCACCCTTTCTTGGAGGCCCCCTCCATGGGACCACTCTTTTGAGCTTCTCTGGAGTGGTAACTCACAGCTCTGAGAGCTGGCTGGGACACCAAAGGACTTTGGTATTTCTGCTTGCCAGATATATTAAATGTGTCCTGTTTTACAGACAACTTGCAATAAGAGGGAGAGGTTGCACAGGGATGCTGAGGGATCTCCAACACAACCAGCTTGCACTGACATCCATGTGCTGTGAGTTCTGATGAACTCTGAAGTCCCTTTCAGCCTTTGTTTCTCCCCAGTTTTCTATGAGAGGAATGCCTGCAGTTCCCGTGCCCTTGGCAGACTCCAGTACTCATAATTATAGCAGGTCTGGAGAACTGGGCTAATTGTAGTGTTGATCCTAAGGTTGTTTCCTCAGCCCAGCAGGATGGCCTGTTCTCCTTTCACGCTTCTAGCTTAACAAGGCTCTCTTTAATTTCTCCTTAATAAAACTTGGGGCAAAGGGGAACATTTAATGTGCAGTTAAATAAAAACCAGAAAGGGCACCATACTGACCAACTTCCTAAAAACCGAGTGCCTGTTCTACAGCCATCCACGGGACGTCAGCAGCGAAATCAAACCTCGGGCACAGAAGCCTGAATGCTAAGAAAACCTCAGTGCCTTTTGTTTGTTACCAATAATGTGATTTTATCGCTGAGGAGCCGGAAAAGGGAGAACATTAAAGGTTCCCTATGTGGGGACGCGGGAGCACCACAGCCATTTACGCCCATAATGAGTTTTGCTGCCTCTGAGCAGAGCACAGTTAATAACAGATCATAAAGTGGGTTTACCACCCCAATTGCCAGTCTCTGAAGGTTACTAAAAGCCTGTTCAAATGAGCACAGTCAGATCTGCCTGGCTGGGCTGAAATCACCATTTTCTTTGTGGTTTAGAGGAAACTTCTGTTTTTGCCTTCATTGAAACGGGTGAAAATCAGGAATGGAGCAAACAGAGCCAACCTGATGTTGTCCAAAATCACTTAAATTTGTCTGATGATGCTATTTGTTTGCTCCACCTGGAGCTGTCCCATCAGCTCCTTAACTAATTCTAAAACTTCCCTATTTTATCAAAACTCCTTATAAAGCATCTCCACACTGGACAGGGTTAATCCAGCCCTGGGTGCTGAGGCCCTGGCACAGGTTGCCCAGAGAAGCTGTGGCTGCCCCATCCCTGGAAGTGTTCAAGGCCAGGTTGGACGGGGCTCAGACACCCAGCCTGTGCCAGGGCCTCACCATCCTCACAGGGAAGGATTTCTTCCTAATGTCCTACCTAAACCTACCCTAAGGGTGGTGCCCAGAGAAGTACCATTTCTCCTTTTGGAGAAGCCAGCTCCATCTTGCACACACACTTTTCCATTTACAGCCAAAAAGAGGGGGAAAAAAGCGTTCCATTTCCATTGTTCATTTGGCGCTTTGATTTCTCTCCATTTTCCTTGCCTTTGTCTGTGTGGGAATGTGCATTTGTGGGAACGACTGATATATTTTAATGTTTTCTGCAGTTGTTTAGTGAGCCCCCTTCTGAAGCCTTATGGACCACCACGGGTTGGGAAACTGGGATGGAAGATCCGCAGAGACAGCCTCGTGCAAATCCAGCGTCATCCCTTTGAAGTCCTCGGGGCTTCTACGGCAGCCAGAAGTAATTAGGGAGAGAAAGGGATTGTGAGAGCTGTGCTGGCTCGGCAGCAGCGCTTCCCGCTGGCTTGGAATAAAGCGGAGCTGAGCCGATGCCGAGCACTGTTGGAATTACGACACCAAATGTCCAACCTATTAATGGAGCCCGCCCAGGGCTCACAGGCAGCGGCAGCTCCTCCACAGCAGCACTCACGCTGTCAACCCCTCACTGCAGCAGTGCCAGAATTACACCCCATCCCAATGAGCCGGGTGCCTGCAGCCTCTGATTTCCTTGGAAATGTCCAAGGTCAGGTTGGACGGGGCTTGGAGCAACCTGGGCTAGTGGAAGTGTCCCTGCCTGTGGCAGGGGAGTGGAACAAGATGGTCTCTAAGGTCCCTTCCAACCCAACCCATTCTGAGATTCTCTGAAGACCAGCACAAGCAAGAATCACCCCGTGACTCTATGCAGCTCTGAGACTTGCAGAGAAAAAAATCAGTACTGAATAATCAAAAGGCTTCTTCTTACCTTACTAAACCTCTCGATCTGCCGAGAGCTCCCTCTGCCACGGGGTGCAGAGCCTCAGCGACCAGGATTCCGCTTCCCCCTCTGGATTCATGCAGTGGCTCCTCCATATGATTTGGGAATTCTGCTTGCCTTTTTCTCCCTCTCTATAAAGCAAAGTGGGTACAGTTAATGGCAGTCCCTGTTGCTTAACTAGCCAGCTCTCCTGTGCCTTCCCCAGTAATGGATGCACCCCCAGTCGGAGATGTCACCTTCCCAAAGATACCATGTGCCTGGGAAAATCCCTCCTCCACTGCTGAACTGTAGATCAGGTCTGTAGGGTAGCTGCAGGAGATTACTCTGAGGGTTGGACTAGACGACTTCTAAAGGTCCCTTCCAACCCAAACTATTCTGTAATTACTTTGGGGATATTTCAGAAGAAAAGAGGAAAGGAATTTTAAAATTTCACCCTGGAAAAGGTACTAGTCCTCTTCCTGCTTTTCCCTTTCTAGGCATGGTTTTGAGAAGTATGTTCCTCTACCTCTATTTTTCTTCTACTGTCTTGCTTTTTTTCTCCCCTCTTGCCTTCCCTCCTCTCCCATTATCTTCTAGCAAAGTTACTATTTTCCACAGCAAAGACTGTGGGCATCACCAAAGTCAGACGGCACCTTGGGTGGGTTTTAGTCCAACCTCATACTCAAAACAGGGCCAGATTCAGAGCTGGATCCCAAATTTTCCATGTGGTAATAAACTCTGTATTACAAAGATGAGCACAAATGTGAGACCAAGTTGTGTTTGGGACAAACCATGAAAACTCCCACAGAAATTTTTAACAGTAAATTCTCATTCAGCCCAATTTGCTGAACCCGTGGGAGAACTTTGATTTTGAAGGTGTTGGACAGGAAAACCTCAGAAAGTTTTATGTTCAAACCCAAAAGCTTCATTTCATCCTTTTCATATAGGTTATTCCACCCTTTCCTTCCATTCTGATGCCTATGATTTGTATGACTTTACCTGCCATTTAGAATAAATGGTCCACTTGGGTCAGGTCTCTCCCATGTTTCCGACTCAACATTTCACAAGAACTTCCAGTCAGTGTAAAAACTTGGACTTTTCTCCCTGACCTGGAACAAAAGCAAGTAGAAAACCATCAGGAAATTTCATTCCATGTGACAGGAATTTGACTTTCTGGACAGCTTTCATTGCTGTCAAGAAGGGTGGCTGGCTGAGAAGTGCTTCCAAAGGCTGGAAGCTGGCAGCACGTCCCTCAGTCCTTGCATCCACTGCCAATATTGTGAGGATGGGATTTTTCAGGGTCCCCTCAAAGAACTAAATATACAGTTCCCAAAATGCCTGAGGTCTCTAATTCTGGTAGAATCCCTTTTGAAGAGTCCCAGCCCTTTTTGTTGGTTGTTTTTCATTCTGCTTTAGATAACCAGAGTGGGCCTCTCGCTCATGGAAAGCATTGTTATATGTGTCACCTCCCACCAAGAAAAGTGAAGAAGAGAGGGTAAAAAGCCACATGAAGATATTAAAACAGGGAACTGGAATGTCTACAAACTGCTGGGAGAGTTCATTCCTAATTCACATATCCCTATTTACTGTTGAAAACAGCTATTTAGCTATTTATGGCATTATAAGCAATCACTCTTGGTTTCTGCTCAGCCTCAGATGGATGGTTGGCCCATATATCTCATGCTGTACTTAAGTAGGATAGAAAAAACCAACCAACCAACCAAAACCAACAAAAATAAACAAAGAAACAAAAAAACTAAACAAAAAACCCCAACAAACAAACAAACAAAAAAAAACAACCCAAAAAAGGAGAGAACAGACCTTTTGGGATGGGCACATCTGGTCCCCATGTGTAAGCCCAGCCTCAGGAAAAGGCTGCTGACAGAGAAAAGCTGCATGTTGTGGTTCTAGACAAGCTTCTTTAGAGGTATGTTATAGATACAGAGGCACAACCATTATAGATATTTGTGTAAATATACACAGAGAGAGAGACTGGGCAAGAAAGAGCTTTCTATATTTTCTTTTCTGAAGCTCAAAGATGCCACCTGGCCAGTTGCAGATCCCTGGGCAGCACTGATTTACTGTGGAGCAGGGATGCTGTTTCCTGGGTGTTGCTGGATGGTGAGAGGTTGGGGAGCAGAGAGGGACTCGGAATATCCCCGAGTTTGGCAGGGAAGGGCCCAGGACAGAAAGCAGATCCTAGAATGGTTTGGGTTTGAAGGGACCTTAAAGTCCATCCAGTGCCACCCCCTGCCACGGGCAGGGACACCTTCCACTAGCCCAGGTTGCTCCAAGCCCCATCCAAGCTGGCCTTGGACACTTCCAGGGATGGGGCAGCCACAGCTCCTGTAGGCAGCCTGTGCCAGGGCCTCACACCCTCCCATGGAAGGATTTCTTCCCAATGTCCCATCTAAATCTACCTTTCTTCAGCTTGAAGTCATTCCCTCTTGTCCTGTCGCTCCAGGGCCTTGTAAATAGTCTCTCTCCATCTTTCAGGTCCTGGAAGGCCACAATTAGGTCACCCCGAAGCCTTCTTTTTCAGGCTGGAAAAAATAACCAATGTGAAATGATGGATACATTTATATGAACTTTTTTTCCTTATGTGAACTTTCTAACCTGCACACAGAGCTCAGGTCCTGGTGATGGGCAAGACACAAACACTTTGTGATCTAGCCTGTGCCCTGCTGCCCAAAAACCAGAGCTGGTGCTGCTCTCTGGCCAGCAAAGTCTGTCCTCCTGTGGGAAGGCGGTGCCTGGAGATGCCTCCCCTTAGTTTCAAACCCACCATCAGCCTTTGTGCACTTCCTTCTTTAACTCCAAACCTCTTTAACTCAATTCACTTATTTTGCAGTGACAGAACAAATAATGCTTTCAGGATGTTACAGCTAATCAGCAGGACATCTTTAACCTACTATTAATTTGGACAGCAAGCAAAATGAGTAGGAACAAAACCAGCTTGTCTCCTTGCCCCAAACATTGGCCTCCCAAGGAACCAAGGCTCACTTTAGTATTAAGGAGGGAGCAAGCCATGAGCACAGCCTGGTGCTTGGCTGAATTAGGACCAACAGCCTCCTAAGAGTAAATCCCTGTCTGCTGGGACTGAAACACCCTTGGACAGGATACACTGGAACACAGAACAGCCACTTCAAGGAGTATTTTCCTTCGGTGAGATCGTACATCTGTTCACTGCAAGGCCAAAAGGCATCCATATATTTCTGTAAATTGGAATTTTTGTGGCAGTCTGGGGGATAAAGCACTTACTTTTCTTTTGGCTTTCATGTTGGAGGTGGGTGTCTAATGTCCCTGCGTCTTTCTGAACCCTGTTCCTTGTGAGACCTGCTGCCTGGCCCCATCCAGAGACCCCTGCAGCAGAGAAAATTAATCCTCCCTGCCATGCAAACACACAGAGTAAATCCCAAAGGACCAGCCCTGAGGCAGTGATAAGGTCTAGAAGAGCACATCAAGCAGAGAGGCAAGTGATCTCAAGTGATGGAGCAGCCTCCAGCCCCCAGGGCAGCTGACTCAGGAGCCAGCTGCACTCACATTTTGAAAACATTTCACCTCATGCCCCAGTTCTCCATGGACCCTGGCTTGGAGAAGGCTCTCAGCCCTCCCCATGGAGGGAGCAGCTTCTATGGATGTCTCGAATCCCGGATGCTTGCTGTCCTGTGAGATACTTTTGGTGGGATGGGGATGCCACAGCCCAGCTGCTGCCCTTTGTGAGGGTAGAGATCTCAGCAATCTCCTGTTTTCCAGTGCCAAAATGGGATGGATGGATGGAAGGATGTGCCAGTTCTTCATGAACGGACAAACTGGTGTATAGGGAGACTCATGTGGGAAAGAGGCTGGACAGGGAGTAGAGGAGAGAATGGATATTGAAAAATAGTGAAAAAAATAAATAATAATAATGGAATTGGAATATATTACAGAGCACCACCCACTTCCTTCCACAGCCTGTGTCCAGTTCTGGGCCCTCACAACAAGAGAGATATTGAGGGGTTGGAGCACATCCAGGGAAGGGGACAGAGCTGGGGAAGGGGCTGGAGCAGCAGGAGCAGCTGAGGGAGCTGGGGGGGCTCAGTCTGGAGAAAAGGAGGCTCAGGGGGGACCTTCTGGCTCTGCAACCCCCTGACGGGAGGGGGGAACCAGGGGGGGTCGGGCTCTGCTCCCAGGGAACAAGGGACAGGAGGAGAGGGAACGGCCTCAGGCTGTGCCAGGGGAGGGTCAGGCAGGATATCAGGAAAAATTTCTCCATGGAAAGGGTGGTCAGGCCTTAGAAGGGGCTGCCCAAGGCAGTGGTGGAGTCCCCATCCTCGGGGGTGTTTAAAAGCCATGGGGATGTGGCACTCGGGGACGTGGTTTAGTGGTGGCCTTGGCAGTGCTGGGGGAATGGTTGGACTCAATAGTCTTAGAGGGCTTTTCACACCTAAACAATTCTATTATTTAAATCAGAAACCTTTTTTCCCTGCTTTTTCAAAGGACCTGAAAATGATCCTTCAATAAGACCACGATAAATATCAAAGAGTCTCAAATATTTTCATTAGAAGTTGCCATTTGTTGTAGAAACAAGGGGAAAAAAATCCCAGTACATGCTCAAAGCCTATATTTCCCCCTAGCAAACCCCAGAACAGTTTTCGGCATTCCCTGGAAGTTTTACGAGTCAAACCATTTTAGTCTGAAATACCGTATTTCTGCAGCATCTACTGATACTGAACATGCTGCTTAAATAATCCAACCCATACCCTTAAGTGAGCAACACAGAATCAGGGAATCAGTAAGACTGGAAAAGACCTCCAAGATCATCGACTCCACATGTTATTTTCTGCTGGCTTTTTCCAGGGACAGGAGCATGGTAATATAAGGGCATTAAAGCAAATATTTCTTGAGCATTTGCTCTTTTTTATATACTATAGAACACACAGTAAACGACCCGAAAAAACATGTTGTTAAGACGTTCCATGAGTATTACACTTTCTTTTCTTTAGATCAGACCATAACTCTCACAGCAGGGGGAAATTTCTGTGGCCAGAAAGGATAATGAAGACCAGGGTTTGACTAAAAGGTCCTCATGCCCTTGGGTGGATGCTGTGGATGCTGCTTGGGAGCGGAGGGCTTTTTACAGAATTCATAAGAAATGGGCTGTCACAGAATCCCAGAATTGTTTGGGTTGGAAGGGACCTTAAAGCTCATCTCGTTCCACCTCCTACCATGGGCAGGGACACCTTCCACGATCCCATGTTTCTCCAAGGCCTGTCCAACCTGGCCTTGAACAGGGACAGGGCAGGAAGGCTTTGTTCATATGTAAGTTTCTCTGCATTTTCAAAGACAATATAATTTTTCCCACTTTTGTCTCGCAGTAAGTTCGACTTGGCCAAAGGCAGAAACAACTGGATTATGCAGAACGTGCATAGGAACTGAAAGGATGTCAGGTTTCCAAGCCCATGCTCTATGCTATGCACAAATCTGGGAATCAGCAGTTCGCAAGACAGAGAAATTCCTGGGGATCATCCAAAAGAAAAAAGCCATTTTCCCATTATAAGTGGACTGAAACCAGAGCTGGAAATCCAACTCTCCTTAAAACCGTGCTGCGGTTTGGATGAGACGCCCTGAGTCTGGATCAGCTGACTCCCATTTGATGCAGAACCCAAAGCAGATCCATTTCATAGCACTGCTTCAGATGGGGCTGAAAAACTCCTGCAAGTGACAGATTTCCTAATGTTTTCCTGCTTGCAAAATGGCTGCAGGTCCTTGTTTGAGCCAAGAAGCACGAGCACTGCCGGCGAAATCTGTCAGCTTCAAGTCTAGGACCATTGTGCAATGCAGTCATGAGCCTTTCTGAAACCCAATTCCCAACCAGACTACACCACGGCAGTTTTCCATAGTTTTTTGGGAGGCCAGTTCAAGCACACAGTTCTGCACCCTTTTGGAAAGCTGCTTTTGGGGGAGTTTCCTGCCTTCTCTTGGCTCCCCTTCCACTGACTGCTGTGACTGTTCCAGGCTGGTCTGCAAGCTGCAAAACATTCCCATTTGCAGACTGAGCAAGTTTTAATTACTCCCAGAATTTTGCCTGGAAGGGAAGAGCCAACCATGGAGGCAAACTGAAAGAGTGTCAGCTTAAATTAGATATGAGGGAAAAATTCTTCCCTGTGAGGGTGGGGAGGCCCTGGCACAGGTTGCCCAGAGAAGCTGTGGCTGCCCCATCCCTGGAAGTGTTGGGGCACTTCCCAGGCCATGTTGGACAGGGCTTGGAGCAACCTGGGCTAGTGGAAGGTGTCCCTGCCCATGGCAGGGGGTGGAACAAGATGAGCTTTAAGGTTCCCTTCCAACTCAAACCATTCTGTGATTCATATTAATCAGATAATGAGGGTAATTGATCTCAGTTCTGTACTCCCAAATACGCAAGCCACATGGCAAAAAATAAACCTAAAGCACTATTTGGATGAGAGGAATGTGCTGTAAAACCCAGGAAAATTCACTTGGGAGCTTTCTCTCCAATTCTGGGTCTTTTTTACATACCCTGCCTGCACATAACCTCCCCTCCCTCCATGCCCAGCCCCTATCTCTGCAACAAGGACCTTTGCCAAATAACACTTCTAGTCATATCTGGAGGATAAGGCATGCAAAGCTCTGGTGCATTCAAATAAAGATTGGAAATCATTTCCTTACAGGAAGGAGCTATCCCAGTTTGTCTTCCCTTCCTTTTGATTATACAGCTCAGATTAGGGAGAGTCAGGAAATTACATCGTCTTATGAAAAATAATAATAATTTAAAAAAATAAAAAGGAAAGAGAAGAATATCAAGGAAAAGGAAATTTTTTCATTTCCTGCCAAAAACATTCCCACAACTTCTTTGAGGTTTCAAAGGCTTGGTTACATTTCTTTCTTTTTTTTGTTTGTTGTTTTTTTTTTTTAAGTTTCACCCTAACAAGTACCACTTTGCATATGCTCCTTGTTTTTAAACAGAACATGGGCCACTATGAGAAGGAGCAATATTTTCATCCAATTTAACATATTAATACTAAAGAGGGAAGGATACTGACAGAGAAACCAAAAGCCAACACTTGCCCCACAATAAATCCTGAGCACTGCTGAGAGGACTGGCTTGGGTCTGTGTATAGAACCATCAGAGAATGGTTTAGGTTGGAAAGGACCTTAAAGACCACCCAGTTCCAACCCCCTGCCATGGGCAGGGACACCTCCCCTGAGACCAGGTTGCTCCAGACCCATCCCTTGCTCTGAGCATTATCTGAGCAAAGACAAGCCTTTCTGGGTAATATAGTAGGAAAAAAAGAAATCCCCATCAAACACATTGTGCCTAAATGCAGAATTTATGATTCTGTAACCAACTGTTGGTCAGTCAACATGGACAAACCTGTTGTTTTACCTGTGCTCCTGACAAAACTCGATGAGGAGGAGGGAGAGAGGCAAACTTTCTGATGGGTGGAGAGAAAACACGGCTGAATTATGTACTGCCAGTTTTAGATTAACCACTCCACGGGAATGATGGG